CACTCGTCCTGAAGTTCAAGTTCTGCAGCCGGACCTACTTCCGACAGATGTGCTGTAAAACATGCCAGGGGCACTAGGGAGACAGCGTGAACCCCGTGGGAAAACTGGAAGGCAAAAGCTACACCGGAGGGCCGCTGAGCCGTGCCCTTCCTCTCCACCCCAGGAATCTCCCCTGGGTCCAACACAGACACTGGTCGTGCTTCCAGTGGGAGCCGGCGTCACCCAAACCCGTCCCCCAAAGCCATGCACCCTTCGCCCCCGAGCTTCACAATGGCAGGTTCCCAGTTAAACCACTGCCAGCCGCTGCAGACACCGCCACGGCCCCGTGCGACAGGAGCCGCTCGATGAGCGGTGGGAGAGGGAGAAGCTGGGCAGAGCGCGGCAGCAGGAACATTACTTGAAATTCTGACATTGTTATTTATTAGTAGCGGACCCAGGGCCCGCAGGCGCCGAGACAGCCACCGGCACCACTCGCCCCGCTCCTGCCTCGTCCTGTTCCATGCCCGTGTCCCGCGGGCATGGCGGGGCATCGTGGTCTGCAGCGGGACCCCCCCGGGCAGGCCAAGCGCCTGGGGGGCTGCTGCCTTTCCCTCGGGCATCCCTGGGGGGACAGGGAGGAGGTTTCAGGTGCCGCGGGTGACAAGCGTGACTTGTGGCTTCTGGGCGATGGACAGAGACGTGCTGCTGTGGGGAGTGGGGTTGGAGCAGGGGTTTTGTTTTCTTGGTTTGCGTCCTGTCACCTTGGGACATGCAGCAGGGGACAGAGACTGGGTCAGTCCATGAGCATAGCGGTGACACCAGTTTAACTGGGAGAGGGGGTTATTCAAACTCTCTTAAAAACCTACTTGGATGGGGGTGTCCGCCTATTTTTTCTTAAAGCCCTTGTCACTATTACAACCCTTTTTTATTCCAGAAACACCTCGAAGTACAGGCTGAGGTCGGGGCCGAGGGCGTGCTCAGGGTTGCAGTCATGTAACGGGCGCCAAGGATGTGCTGGGCTGCAGGACGCAAAGCAAAGGATGCAGGACGAGAACTGTCTTGGTCACAGTGTCCCCATTGCCCGAGCTGTGACCCAGGACCAGTCTGCCTGGTCCTAGCAGGGCCCTCCCCAGCAAACGCCACGGCCTCCGCGGCTGCTTTGCCTCCAAAGGTGCTTTATTTCCAAAGGTGCTTTGCCTCCAAAAGGTGCTTTGCCTCCAAGGGCAGCCTCACTCTATGCCTCCGTGGCCTCGGGGTGCCAGGCCCAGTGCCACCCACTCCTCTGCCCGCAGGAGACCTCCAGTGATGGGAAAAGAGCAGGCTTGAAATTGCCCCAGGTCACCCCCTGCCCAAATCTGGGCCAAACACGTCTACTCCATGGGCCACCGCAGCTGGTGGAGGAGACCTGAATTTCCAACCTACAAATTATCTTTTTGTTATCGTTGTTGTCGTTCTTCTTCTTTTCAGGCCTTTCCGCATCACAGAGATGGGAAATCTTGTCCAAAGCCATGCTCTGTTCCCCCTGGGGCTCCTCCGTACGGTGCAGGGAGGCGGACAGCCCTCTTTCCCCAGAGCAAACCTCTCCGCCCTGCCAGCCCTCATGTGTTACTCAACCATCTGTATTTTTACCCGCTCATCAGCCGATCGCAGCTTCTCTGGTGCTCAGCAAACCCCGTTTGGCTGTCGAGCAGGCCTTTGTGTGTCTTCCTTCCTGGTGCCATGCTCCATTCTGACATTTGGGTGAGGGGAGGGGATGTTTTCACCTTTTTATATAGGTATATACATAACGAGAAATGTTTAACATACTAACTCTGAGGAGGAGCAACGTAACGGCATGATTTATAATAAAGGAGTAGCTACGATCCCGGGCGCAGCTTCTGGAGCCAGTCGTGTTTCTTGAGCGGCAAGCCTGGGCTCTGGGCAGCCCCACACCAGCACGCTCCTCAGGCTCATGCTGCAGGAGGGGTTTGGGCAGCCTGAGGGGCTGGAGCGCCTCAGAGAGGTGCAGATTCGCCCAGAGCTGCTGCGTGGCGCAGGAACAGGCTTCCCCTTGGCAGACCCCTGACGGGTTGGCTGTGCAACCCAGGGGCACACAGACCCGGTGTGATAATGCCGGTTTCCTGGTCAGCCACTGGGTCAACCTCCATCGCCGCTGTGCCATCGGCTGTAGTTTGGCGTTACCAACCAGCCAGTTTCCACATGTCCTCTTCGGTTTGGCAGCTCATAGGTGCCCCAAGACGTCGTGTGGCAGCTTTGCTGGGCGCTGGGCTGAAGCACCCAGGAGCTGCAATCGCTGCTGAGGCTTCCCCGCTCCTGTCCTGCTGCCATCGCTGGTGCCACAGGCACGAGAAGCTGGTGGCCAGGGGCAGGTCTGTCCTGTTCTAGGATGGGGGAGAGTGGGCAGTGAGGAGCTGGTTTGTACCATCAGGAGGCCACTGTGATGGCGGCCAGCTGCGACGGCTGAGCATGGGTCCCTTTGGCTGGCCTGAAGGACGACCTGCCTGGGAAAGGCAGGGTGCCCAGGACTGAGCTCCTCTGCCCCTGCCCAGTCCCCCCATGGTGGGACCCGCTCCCCACACCCGCAGCCTCTGCACGCGTCTGTAGGGGAGCAACTGCGGCTCTGGTCAGCAGAAGGTGAAGCAGCTCCTGTCTCTGACACAGCCAGCGTCCTTCCTCAGCTACGGCAGCCTGGGAGCAGAGCCAACCCTTGCGGCCCTGCTGACTCCCGGCCTGCTGGTGGGCTGCCCCAAGCCCGGCCTTTGCAGAATTGGCCATGAATTTGTGATTGGAACCCCCTGCTTGGCAGTAACTTCGCTCCTCCAGCCCTGGCCCTGCTGGCAGGCTGGGTGCTGCAGCTGGCACCCTCTGCTCTGCCAGGCAGAGGACAACGTATGGTACAAAAATAAAGAACGTGGTTCTGCAGCTCAGCGAGCAGGTCCCTGCTCAGCCGAGCCCCTTGTGCCCCCTCGCTCGACGCCTGACACAGGGCAGGTGCCTGCTCCCGAGCTCCTCCAAGGGGCTTCTGCAGCCCTGAGCAGCACTCGCCGGCTCCTGAGGCCTCACCTGCAGGTTGCCAGGGACTCTGCTAAGTACCTCCCCGAAGAAGTAACGTTTGCTCTCTCCAAACCCTCCGGAGCAGCTCTGCTGCCCTTTTCCCCTCCTTCCAGGGACCAGCTTCAGCTCAACAATCCTGTCATGGCTCTGGCCCAGACAGTCCCCTGCCACCCCATGTCCCACCAGCCCTTCTCCACTCCCTCCAAGCCAGTCTCGGGGGCATCTGTCCTGTTGGCTCCGCGAGTCCTTGTGACAAGAAGTTCTCCCCGCAGAGCTCAGG